AATTAATGAAATGGTTGAAAAAGCTGTGCAATGTTCTGATTCGATTATGATCGATAATAGCATACAGACCGAATTGGTTGAATTGAGAGATAGTGAATGTGTTACGGTCATTGCTGAATATACGGTTTGTTAATTTGCGCATTGTTCACAATAATGCATTTTTAAATTGTCGAAATAATTGATTTCGGTCAACACAAATATCGATAATTTCATGAATTGATTTTGTTCGAAAATTTAAAAATAAGTTTATTAAAATTTTATTTCACGAATTGCATATGCAAAATCTTATAGTACTTTGTGATGGAATTTTTTGATCAACATCTTATTTTTTTTTGTTTGTAAAAATTTTTGAAGTTAATTATTATTACATTTATATTTAAACATCACTTTTTAATAAATTACAGGTACGTGATGTACAAACAGATGAAGTGCAATTAATTGAGCAGGAAATTCAAACTCATTTATACGATGTCTTAGAAGCTATCGCTCAAACTGAAGACAATGAATTTGTTCAGAAGCCATTTATAGAAATGATAGAAAGTGAAGTGCAAACTGATCCAATAGTAAGGAGTTTTTTTCTTACTAATTGATCGTAATTTAAATTTTTATTACTTATTCATTTTACAACAACAACATAACAAATAGCACTACTATTGCTACAATTCAATCAATTAATTAAGATTAGGGAACGGCGGAAAGCTCTGCCAGGAATTTCAAGAATGAAGGAACGACTGCAAGAAACATCAAGGCGACCATCAGCTAGTCAATCGCTAAGTGGCCGGCTAGAGTTAAGTGGGGATGAAGAAACTACAGATGAAGATGAGGGATCTTACAATCTTGATTGGGATCCCATTGATGGTATGCATGCTGAAAAGCAGAAACGAGTTCGAGATTTAAAGCAATTTTTTGAAACTAGTAAAAGAAAGAAGTCAATCAGACAAAAAACACGACTTTCAATACCTTCATCTTCTTCAGCAAATTTAAAAATGTAAAGCTAAATTTTTGATTTTTTTCCTTTGCATTACCTGATTCAGTTTTTAAAAATCGCTTTAGATTATTACGTATGATTTCACATATTTTCTATGATATTTTATCTTTTAATTTTTGCCTTGCCTTTTCTTTGTCATTTTTATAACAGCGTTAAAAACGTATTTTGCATAAAACTCTCAGCTTTTGTTATCATATTATGCATCAAATTTTTGAAATGAACTTATGCCAGAAAAAACATAACAAATTGAAAACTTGCATTGTGATAATAAAATGGATTATATTTCAATTAAAATTTAAAATATAAATGATAATGCTTGATCGAATTATATTTACTAAAAAATAAAAAAAAGCCAAATATGCATAGGCTAATACGAATAATTGAATTTACTGTACCAGTATTCTAAGGCCATACAAATTCATTACATTTCAAATAGAAAAAAAGAAAAAAAGGAAAAAGCAGAAATTTATTAAAAATTCATCTA